TCAAATCAAACTGTCGCTCAATCATTCACCTCTGTAAAACTTTAAAGCCTAATGCAAACAAACACACACACACACACACACACACTGCAGCGATATAAAGCTTTACCATTAAAATAATTTACACCCTCTTGATTCTGTTTGGGGCTTTTCAATCATCAGTACCTTTTGTTGACCTTTTTTGTCACTCTTTTTTTCTTTCCCTTTTTCAGCCTCTATTTCTGGCAGTGTGAGTTATATGTTCCGTGAAGTTGGCTCGTCTGTGTGTGTGTGTGTGTGCGTGTGCGTGTGCGTGCGCGTGCGTTTGTGTGTGTGTGTGTCTTGTGTCAGTCTGTTGACAGACCGGGGCACTGAGGCTACTTTCTGACAGAGGAACTTTCTGGGGAGCAGGTGTCAAAAAGTAACAAGGTAAAAATACAGAGAGGGAGGGAGGGACGAATCAAGGTGGCAGAGAAGTAATGTGTTGCTTTCAGGACTGTGTCTGTTGGAAGAACAGCCCGAATTCAATACAGTGACAAGTTTGCAGTCTACATGGTTTGGCTTCTATTTTTCAGATGTTTAATATCTGGGATGTTTAAACGGTTTTTTGGACGAATTCAACAGATTTCATAAACTCACAGGAAGCAGCAGTGCAAATCCAATTCAGGAATAATTCTTGTCTGCACTAACATTTTCAGGACATCTTGTGTTTGACTGGAAACTGTTTGGATTATGGACAGTGATGTAGTCATTAATCAAAGCTGGAAATTCCCATTGTAGCCTACCCAGCTGTGGAGACTTCACCTACTGGGAAAAACACATAAACAATCTACAGATCACTCAGAACAAGTTAGTCAAGGTTGTGTTGGGTGTGAGCTCAAGAGCACATTTTGGCAAATAGCATTTCCAGCAGTAACATCCCCAACAATGTGCAGCTACAACTCAACAACAAGAAAACAGGAAAAACCTGTCAATCTCACAGAACACCGTCATCGTGTCGGGACCAGAGCTAATGTTGATGTTTGCGCTCGGCGAGGTTCAGCGCCAACACGGGCACTGGTGGAATAAGTTAACTTTGCATTTATAAAAATCACGATTTTAGTGGGAATGGTAATCAAAATGATGATGGTGTGATTTTTTTTGTTTCCTTACATCTGGAGAATGGGTTTTATAGACCGTGACATCATAGTCACCACAATGCTTCATTGATAACGGATCGTTGTGACACATTCTACCTTTATCAGAAAACTGCAGCTCCTGCGATTTAGATATTGCACTTATGCCATATTGCGATTTCAATAATATTTTGATTAATTGTTCAGCCCTAGCTTATAGTTAACTTGCAAGTGTAAGCTTACCCCTCTGGTCATAATTTGTATGTCATCTTTAACCATTCTAGTGGTGCGGCTCTGGATGTCGGTCCACGACTTTAGTCCAGCCTGTAACATCTCAACAACTATTGGACGGGTTGTCATGAAATTTTGCACAGATGTTCTTCATAGTCCCAGAGAATGGGGTCTTTGGTCTCAACTAAGATACTTGGCATCTAAAGCCAGAGCTTCATAAACCATGAAAAGACCCTGGACCCCCTCTGATAGTCCCCAGGATGAGTATTGTTGGCTCGCAAGTCGGGGATGTTGGAGCTTTACACAAGCACCTTGAATCCATGAGATTATATTCACACGTATGACTAAAAGAAAAAAGAGAAAGAAAGATTTGGGTTTAGTTGATGAAAAGAAAAATGTTTGAGAGAAGAGGAGGAGAGGAAGAAGGGGCTAAAAGAGACCCTGACGAGGGATGAGACAGAGCTGGAGAGAGGAGGGCGCAGATGGGAGTGCTGCTACAGCCAGCACCAACTATGAATAATGAACGCTCTGCAGTCAGTGTGAGAGTATTTGTGTGTGTGTGTGTGTTGTCTGCAGTGTGTAAATTGGCCAGATTAGTGCATACATACGTTAATGAATCCCCCAAGTGTTTGGTTGGAACACGTTTTCATGCATGTCTGTGTACATTGAGCTGTATTGTTTGCCTGTTTCTAATTTGTGTGTATGTGTTATTGTATCAGTAGTGAAGCATGAATGCATGTGGGGGTGGCTGGCTGTCTGTTCATACAATCTGTGTAATGTGTATGATGTGCAACATGGAAAACATTTTGTCCATATCCAGTGTGTGTGTGTGTGTGCGTGCATGTTCCTTATCATTGTAAATTATATGCAAGGTAAATTGTGATCGTGTGTGTGTGTGTATATGTGTGTGTACATGTGTACACTTTTGTCGCCCCAAGTGAACACTGTGTACTGAATCGTAACCCTTCACATCTCAGTGAAGTCTATGCATTACTCATACTCCTCTTTCAGCCTCTTTCTGTCTGTCTCCTTCTTTTTCCATCTTCACTCCTCTTCTCTCTCTCTCTCTCTCTCTCTCTCTCATTCTACTTTATGTTCGTATTTTTTCTTTTTTCTCAAACTTTCCTTTCCTGTTGATACACCCGTCAATCTTTCCATTACCGTGATAGCGATGGCAGATTTACCATCAAAATTCTATTAATCTATAAATTAGTCATTTCTATGCGAGTCCTTGATTTCAGAGGCAGAAAAAAGTCGACCTCTCATTTCTAGCCAATGAACATCTGAAATTACTTTTTTGTCAGCTGTAGCTTGGCAGCTACAGTATTTAAGCTAACATTAGCTCAAAGAATTGGTTAAAAACACTATTTGCACCTTACTTTTTAATGTTTCCAGTTAATTCACTTTAAAGCAAGGCTCAGATAAAAAGGGTCTTGAATATGTAAATATAGTTAACGTAGTATGATGTGGAAAAATGTAGATATTAGTTACACTTGAGTGTTTTTGGTTTATGAAAGGCTGTAAAGACTTGCTCGCTCTTTTTACAGGCAGCCATTCACACAATGACTCGTTTTCTTTAGAACTCAGCTTTACTGCATATTGTTAGATAAGATAAAAGAAAAATACAGGCAGATGCATGGAAATGATCAAAGCAAAGGAGTTTGCTGTAACAATAGAAATCATAATAAATCATAACATATATTTCATCTCTCTCCTCCTTCTTCCCTAAATGAGTTTGCATTTAGGTGTAAAGTGTTTTTTCCTTTTGTGTTTCACATTTGACTAAACAACATTTCAATTTCGTTTGCAACATTGTTGAGAGTTGCAGCAGCTCAAGCCGATGTGATGCTAGAAATAGCAAATCCAGGCAGTTTTATCCACTGTTGCTGTGACAGCTCACCAATGAAAACAATGTGCTTCTACTTCTCTACACCTCCATCACTCTCTCACCTCCCTCGCTCCGTCCTCCCAGGTATGCCCCCCCCACCCCCACCCCCACCCCCTGTTTTTCTCTGTTGAACCGAGGCCTATTTGCTGCGTCACAATCAACATGGCTGACAGTGAAGCATATGATGACACAACCAGGTGGAAATGAACACTCTCTTCCTCTCTGCCTGTCAGACGCAGACGGAGCGTTGGAATGAGGATTATATACTCTGAGTGAAAAAGGCCAGAAAGAGACCAGACTGATGAGATTTACATAGAAGCATCAAAACCTAAAGTCAAATTAACAACTACCAATGTTAAATTGGAGTCAAAATAACATATAGCAATAGTATTACACTGTCGTAGCTTACACTGTACTAGGGCCTTTCCAAAGCACAGGACTGACTAACCTCATCTACCTTATGTACAATGCTGGTGTTTTTCATATTCATGCTGTTTACACTACGCATAAACTGCACATGGCAAGATTAGGGAAAGATTGTGGCTATGATTAATGAACTGTAGTTAAGACATTGTTTGGTTTAGGCAACTAAAATACTTGGTTAAGTATATGAAAACATCATGGTTATGGTTAAAGGTACACGATAAAGTTTTTGTCCACTAGTACTGCTGTGTAGCAGTGTTTTTAAAAGTGGGTCCCTGTTTTACATGCACAAAAGGACCCATGCACGCAATCACATGGGTGATACAAAACTCCTCCTGTCATAAACACTTATCCAATGATCACCAGTTGTAGGCGACAGCATGCAAAGAAGCGAAGCAACATGTCGTGCAAAGGCAGTGAAGAAGACAACAAGCTCGCAAACATGGACATAAACATTGCATGATTTAAATTATTCAGAACATCAGCTCTGCAAATGTTTTATGAAGATGGAATAAAGCTTTAGGCATGTGTTGGACTTCAAGGATACCCACAGTGTGTTTTAAGTGAGAAATGCCCTAGGAATTGCGAAGTCATAGGAATACTAGGCTGAACTTACAAATGAGCAAATGAGCTTTTCTTCGTGTGATTAATATACATCTTCTGTCTACAAAGTACAGCTGTGCTGCGCAAAGCATTTAATATTGCATTAATATAACACAGTTCAAATCAAATGATACTCTATCTGTAAATATACTGACACAGGCAATAACAAACACATTATATTGCCCAGTCACACTGTGCACACCCTTTTCTCACTTGTTAAGGTTCGGTTGTGGCATGCATCTCCTCGAAAGTGTTTGCGCTGCATTTTCGGGCCTCTCCCCTGGGTGCTCCTAATTGAAAATGTCTCAACAGTGGTTGTGCTGCTGCACATTGCATCACCATCAGCTGGAGGCAAATTAGCAGCCTCATGTGTTGTCTCATTGAGCCTCGTCAACTTGAGCTCGAGCCTTCATCTTTGCAGAGGCTCCTCATCATCTTCTGCAAGAGAAAGCAGAGGAGTGCAAATTTAATCGTGTTCATTTTTGTGTTCAGCGATGTTGTTCTGTTTGTTACTTATGGTTAGCTAATAAGATACTTTGATAGTAATGAGGCTCATGTAGCACTCCTTACCCGTGTTGCTGTGTTTTCTGTCTGAGCAGCAGAAATTACCTCCTGGCTAATTACAGCCTGATGGAGTGAAACTTTCCCAGTTTTAATAGACTGCGCGAAACACATTTGCTTTTATTATGAAGGGAGGCATAAAACTATAAAGGTTAATTATCTGGAATACACTCAGTCTCATCTTTCACTTCTCTTTTTCACAGGAAGATCATCGAGGTGAAGATTATCGATGATGAAGAGTATGAGAAGAACAAGACCTTCATCATCGAGCTGGGAGAGCCGGTTCTGTTGGAGATAGGACAGAAACATGGTCGGTCTGTCTGCCTGTCTACTTTGTGTGTCAATGTGTGTGCGTGTCCGTGTGTGTGTTTGTGTGTGTGTTGGAGAATATCAAGAATTCAGGAGCGGGTGCAGGAACAAGCAGACTGTGACAGACAGAATGGAGTCTTTGTTTAACTGCCACCAGAGTCTCAGGCCTCCTGCACACCTGTCTCTTATAAACAGGGCGAGACCTGCATTGATTGTCTGAAGCTTTCGATCTAAAACTCAGATTAGCTCTGGAAACATTTTACTTGGACCCACAAAGGACCTGGCTTGGATTTAAAAAGCACCAGGCTCAAGCTGTGAGTTTTTTTTGATATAGCGGCATCCATGGCACATCATGTTGGATCACAGGAAAACAAATAATAACCTATCCCACTCAGTGCTATACACACATAAATATGTTATACAGTACATAAATAGCCAGATGCTGTTCTGAACACTCAGTGCGTACTGGGGATCATAACTGTAAAAATGTCACTGAGCTAAGCAGCAAGAAAAGAGCAGATTGAACAATTTGCAGTTCATTCCTGACTAATGAACAATTTTGATCAAGTTCCTCTCTCAGCTCTGTACTGTCATTTCCCACTTTCTGAATCTGCATCGTTTCCAAAAAGCTTAGAAATCTATCAATGTGAAACATTTCAGTTCACTCTTCAACGTTTCTCAGTGTGTAGGAAGCTTTACAGGCAGACAGCTAATCTCTGGCAGGTGATCAAGGCTAAAGAGGACCAATGCTGGAAGTCAATAAGTAATTTCTGCAGCTTTGACATTTCTTTTAAAATGGATTTTACTCAAGGTTGAAAGTTTACACGATGGAAAAAGATGAAGAGAAATCTGGAGTAACTTCCCTCGTGTCATTTTACTTCAATGAGACTTATTCTTTGTACCATTTAGCTTCATTTCTTTTTTTATTCATTTCTCATCCTCATGAATTTACTCTTGACTGCAGCACTGTGTATTTGCATTTTGTGTTATCAACCTCTAAAACAGTGGTTCTCAACCTGTGGGTCAGAGCATATATCTGAGGGTCTAGATGAAGATAAATTATGGAATTGTTTTTTTGTTTGTTTTTAACGCTAAAAATAAAAGAAAAAGAAAAATTCACAGTTTAGTTGAACTGGTCACAACCACACAACCAGCAGACATATGCAAATCATTATGGTGATCCCACAACTTTTCATCTAATGTCATTCTCACATCAAATTTTCAATTTACTCAACTGTACTCTGTGTTTAGAGCTAATTAGCTAATATTAGCACTCAAACACGATAAACAAAAATTGTGGGAAACGTTATACCTGCTACTCAGCATGTTAGCATCGTCATGGTGAGCCTATTAGCATGTTGATGTTAGCATTTAGCTTACAGCGCTTGTCTAAGCAGCCTCACAGAGCCACTGGTGTGGCTGTAGACTGTTTCTCATTAAGTCCCACTGTTGGTCTTTGGAGGTTGTGAACAGCCAAGTGCTTGTTCCAAGTTGTCAATCGCTGTTATTTACCTGCCAGCATGGAGGTTCAAACCACACCTCTTCCTCGCTAGCGTCTCAACTAAGCAGTAGAAGTTGTTCAAAACAAGGACACGATCCCTTATCAGGTCCCTTCATGTGAACAGTAGTGCTTGTGTTTGATGGAGCCCACAACCACAGCCTGTGATTGAGAGCCAAGTCTCCACGGTGGTCGACAAGTGTTTTATCTCTCTCTCTCTCCCTCTCAACACGCAGACTCACACAGAGACTCTTCCTGGTGGTGTGAGGGTCTGCACTCTAGATGTCAGACATGAAGAGCTGACAGCCCGGGGCATGTTTCATTACACAGAAATATAATTTGTTTTATAACACTATCACAGAGCAAGCAGACTGACATTTACACACACACACACACACACACACACACACACACACACACACACACACACACACACACACTGTATAACATACTGTACACAGCTTTTCACTTACAGCAGGTTTGCACTGATAAGAGATGACTCAATTAATGGCTGTCACTGTGCGTGAAGAGTGAGTGAGGAGACGTATGGAAGAGTTGTTTCATGGGACAAAATTATAAATTCCTTCTGGGTATTCATATTTTTAATAGCATGAGATACTTAATAGCTTGGATTCCCATGTGGCAAATCAGTATTTGAATATTTGCATTTACATGACTGTCTTTCACAGCTGATTGCATACATTTTCTAAAATGAAACCTCAGCAAAACTATTAAAGCCATTCACGCTGCTCTGGTCAAAATCTGACGGATGAAAAAATTGGTTCATGATTTGACTTCCAATGGTGTGCAAAAGCTCTCAAATCGGCAGATCAATTAAAATAAAAACTTTATGGAGATTCTCGGGCAGGATTTGACAAAAAAGTAACATTTACTGCTGTGATGTGCTAAAAACTACAGTGCCTGTGGCCAGTGGAAATCAAATTTGTTCAAATGTAAAAAAGAATTATATATAATACTGCCAGCTTTCTTCTTTAAATGAAACAGTTTTTGGCCAATTGTTTATAATCCTGAATGCCATTTTTGCTTTGTGATTGATCTGTCAGTCTTAGACAAACATGCAGTTATCGTGTGACCAATCAAAGCAGTGATCTGAACAGACAGAACTCTCTCTCCATAGCAAATAATAGATGAATGATCCCAATTTTTTGTAATATATATATATATATATATTTTTTTTTTTTTACTGTAACTTGGGTAAAAATTGGTCCTACTGACTTACAGAGTCACAACCAGAACTGAGATTTTGGACATATTATTCATGAGTGGCTGGTCTCCAGGGATTTGACATTTCAAATGCAAAGGTTATTCAACAAAATCCATATCATTAGTGAAGGCAGTAATATACTGTATTTCTGAGTGGTTTTGTAATGATTTAAGTGACTACTGCCAAATAATGCCAAGGGACATGAGAAAAAGATTTCTTTTTTGTCTTATTTTTATGGTCAATAATGCTAAACATGTAAACATGTCTGCATGGAAGCAAAGAAAGCAGACCCCTTTCAACATCAAAGTTAATGTTGATTTTTGTAATAAATCAAATATGACATCTGTGACCTCAGCCTCCCCAGAAAACCAACACAAAACACATGGCTGCATTAGGCCCTATCTACCACAGGAAATGAGGCTGTCATTTCAAATTAAAAGTGAATATAGTCAGTGATCAATATCCTGGCAGGCTATTTCCTCACAGGGGTTTCCACAAAAATTGAAAGCTCTGAATAAGAAATTGTAGTTAGTTGCAAAATCCTCAATATCCCTCAAAATAATGAGGAGCCTGACCTCAGTATTCTCAGTGGTAGCTAGAGCCTTGCATTGATCATATAAGTTCATAAATTTAGGAGGAAAAAAAAGAAAAGTTCCTATTATTGCATTACTTTAAATTGGTACTGTATATCATCTGCACAACCGGCCTCCTGACCCATTCATCTCTGTGGTCTCCTAGGCGACTCCAATGAGAACAAGCCGTTGGTGGGAGCAGAGGAGGAAGAGGTGGCTAAGATGGGCTGTCCCAGTCTGGGTGAACACACACAAGTAGAAGTGATCATAGAAGAGTCCTACGAGTTTAAGGTAAGTGTGTGAGTTTGCACGTACTGTATTTTCATTTTAGGTATTATGTGCACGAACAAATGCATTTTGTGGCTGAATTTCAGAAGGTCCTCAAAATATATCAGCAGTTTGTCAGTTAGATTTCATATCCCGTTGATATAATGACAACCACCATTTATGCAGCCATTAAGTCAGCTGTGTTAAACATTACCTAAAAATGAAAACGACTTAAAATGCAAATTACACCTAAAATGATTCAAAGTGAATGTCAGCTGCCCCAGTTGGGAGGATGAATGACTCATTTTGTTAGCATGTAATGGACTCTGTAATGAGAGGCATGTCATTTTGATGGGAGACATGCAAAAGACAACAAATAATATATTCAAAGTGAGCTGACATCTTGTTTCAGTACACAAGAGGCCTCATAAGAAGGAATGTTTCTGGCACAGTTGACAATTCATCGAGCAATTTAGAAACCATATTGGCTTAGTTGTTTCATAAACATTGTATATTAGAAAGAATGTCTTCTCAAATTTGATCAGTTCGTAATTCAAGCGTGGAGAGACACAACTAGACACAACAAACCAGATCTGTCTGTCTCATTGTTCTCCTTGCATTACTTTGCAAAGTCATGTTATTCTGCTAATTTCCATGTGAGATTGCCTCTATCTATCTATGATTTTGTTTATGTCTTTAAACGTAACCAATCATACTGTATTTGTTTGTTTGCAGATTTGATTTGCTCATTTGTCCATTTGTGTCATTGTGTGTGTGTGTGTGCGTATGCAGAGAGCAGTGAATATACTTGTTTGGCGAGCTGAAAAGGTTATCTGTCTTTCTCACTCTTGAGTTTGCCTTTGCATGCAACGCTAGTTCTTCTATCTGCTACAGGGAAATACAAATAATAATGTACCTATAAATCCTTAATTGTCACTGGAATTACTCTAATTGAAACTGCTGATATACAGTATATTTTGTGGGTTTTTTCTTATGTTGCCTTTCACTTATTGGAAAGTAAACCATGCAGGGTTTCCTCCTCACAAAGCCCTGTCAGCTGGGTTATGATAATGACTGGTGATGTGATGCTCCATGGCTGCTGCAAGCTGTTTTGCATCAACATCTTTTATTATTCCCCTTCTTTGCTGCTTTAAACACACAACTCAACCAATCTGCCTGAAGGCTTTTTCCTAGATTTCACTGGGAGCGCCAGCAGAACATGGCCTCACAGCCAGTTTCACGGCATCGTATTAATTAGCACATCCTATACTTCGAATTCTCAGTGTTATGAAATACAGAGTTTTTTAAATGTATCTTTGAAATGTGGAAACGAATTGAAAGGCTTGAAATCAGCATTTTCTCCTATCTGTGTGGCTGTGGGTGAATTAACATCTTGAGGGTTGTGTCTTTCCACTTCTATCCGGTCTGTGTGCACTTGCATGTTTGCCTTTGTGTGTTTGTGTGTGTGCATATGTGTGTAGAGTACAGTAGATAAGCTGATCAAGAAGACAAACCTGGCCTTGGTGGTGGGAAGCAGCAGCTGGAGGGAACAGTTTGTCAATGCCGTTACTGTCAGTGCAGGTAAAACACTCGCTCACACACACACGAACACACACAGGATGTAACGCATCATTTTGATTAATGAACAGTGGTTATGGTTGACATCTTGACATCATTTTGAAAAGATGATGGATGATGAGAGAGAGCATTTCCTAAACGGTTGCATCAGCATTTTTGTTTTGAAGCTTTTCATGCATTCATTTTAATCTATTCATAATCTTATTTTTATTCAGGTCTCATTGCTGCCACTGATCCTAAGAGCTAGTACAGAGTATTTTCTTTTTCCATTTCCTCTATTAACCCCACATAGGAAGAAAGTTTTCTCCAATCCTCCTTTGAAGAAATACACTTTTTTGTTTTCTGGACAACAGTTAGATGAGAAAATACTATTATATCTGTCTCTATATAAATATGAAGCTGCAAGCAGTTAGCTTGCATTAGCATGAAGACTGGAAACAGTGGAAAGATCTAGCTTGTCTCTGTCTAATACTCACTGATTAACACATCTAGTATCTAGTTTGTTGTCCATACTCTATGTTAGCTATTTTTTGGTGAACAGTCACTCCCAAAAGTCACCACAGCCGAGTATGAACATGCTAATAAGTAAGCTGTCAGGGTTTTGGCAGGCACATGTCTTTAGAGACTAGAGATAGCTGGATAGCTGTAGTTGAAAGTTAAACTGTTGCCTCTGTCAGATCCGTCAGTCTCACTCGACTTGTCTCCTTTTTTTGTGTGTGTCCACTCCCCTGTGTCTTCCTCCTATCAATTGTCTTTTTTTTCACCATCTTCCTCACTTTCAATCTCCTGACGCACCTAAAAGGAGATGACGACGAGGAGGAGAGCGGCGAGGAGCGGCTGCCGTCCTGCTTCGACTACATCATGCACTTCCTCACCGTTTTCTGGAAGGTCCTGTTCGCTTTCGTCCCGCCAACAGAGTACTGGAACGGCTGGGCCTGCTTCATCGTCTCAATATCGCTCATCGGCGTCCTGACAGCGGTCACCGGCGATCTGGCATCTCACTTCGGCTGCACGATAGGACTGAAGGACTCGGTGACCGCTGTGGTGTTTGTGGCGCTGGGAACATCGGTGCCAGGTGAGCCATTATATTAGTAATGTAGTATGAGTCTACACATACAGTAACACAAAAGTCAAACTGAAATTAAAATTTAGTTTTGATAGGGAATGAAACTATATACTTGGTTTTCATTTTGAGATGTGTAAAATTGTGACAAGAAACTAGAAGAAATTTAAACTTTTTAAACAATTTTTCTGTCATGACAGTGCTTTAGTGCTCACCGGTGGATGTAGATTTTTAGTTAACACTGATAATGGTTGCCTGGACACTAAAAGTAGTTGGTAACAGTGTCAATGGACACAAATTAACCAACCAACACATTAACCCATAGACCCATGACATGCTCCGATCAGGAAGTTGTAGGCACGTATCTTTGTAACGCCTGCTCTCGAGGTAAATGTCCATCCAGGGCATGAAGCTTAAACAGTCTTTCCTCAAATATGACCAAAAAACATATCTGCTTTTCAAGAATGGAAAATGATGCACCATAGCCACAGTATTGCATTTTACTCACACAAAAATTATACAGTAAGTAAACACTAAATATGAAACAAGATGCAAGCGTTTTCCTTGACACTCGGATTCGAAAGACAAGTGAGTACAAATGAAAGGAGGGACTGATCCTCTCGCTTCCATCTCAGTTCAGTAGCAGCCACCCTCAGGAAGCAGGCATGAAATCAAAATTGACCCAGCTCCATCACAGCCTTCAGCCTTCAGCCTGAGCTGGTCTTTGCTTGGAGGGGATGCATCATCCCAGGGCTTTAATTCAATTCACTTCCTCTTTCCTTTCGTCAGCCGTTTTATTGTTGCCTGCCCCTCCATATGATTTATAAAAATCGCTCCTTTGCTACTCTCCCAGGCAATAACTCTGATGCTGTGCGGCGAGGTCTCTGGTCTCTCGTTTGAATCAATTCCCTCAACAGCCATATTATGTTGCGTGTTGGAATTGGAGGCTGTAAATTCGGCTCTGATGTCCATTATCAGTGTGTGTGTCCTGTCGACAAGGCGTGTTGGCTTTTCTTGCTTTTCTGATTCTCCTTTATTCTGCCCTGTTTTGTAGCTTTCGCTCACATTCACTGTTTTCTCTCTGTCTTTTTCCCGTCTTTCTGTCTGTCCCTCCCTTGCACTCTTATATTTCACCTCACTTATCTGTTACACTTGCTCTTGTGCCCCATCCCGGTCAATTTATTATTCTGACTAGGTGCTACCTTACTCCTCGCTCTCTCCCTTTCGTCCTCTTATTGGATGTTGTGTTTTCACTCTCGTATCATCCATCATACCCAGGTGTGCGTGGGTGAAGGTGTGTGCTTGCAGTGCCGAGTCGATGCAAGTTTGTGTGCGACAAGTCCAGCAGGTCATTATAACTTCCACCGGGAGTGTGTGCTCCCCTGTGGATATGTGTATGCGTGCGTACTTGTGTGTGTGTGTGTGTGCATGATCTCCTTAGAAGTTGTTAGAAACATTTATCTTGTCTCTTGTCTCCTCCTCCTCCTCGCTCCCAGCCCTCCTTCAGATTTATAAAAGCATTTCTGCATTATTACATCAGAGACACACTCGAGGATTGTCGGGCCAATTTACACCAGATTTGCAGATTCAGGCAATCAGAGGCAAATGTGGATCAGATGCTTGGTTTGAACGCTGTGAACTACGAAATGCTTCTGGCTGTTTAAGAGGTTATTTCTAACCACCTGAGCCATTTAGATAGTATCAATGTTTGTTTTTTTCATATCTGTGTTGGTGCTGAACACAGAGTCATCCCCATGACACTGGTTAAAATCTTATCTTAAATACTGGTACAGTACATACCTTGACTCTTTGATTGGTGACACATTCAAGACTCTGTCGGTTCACAGACATTTCAAGAAGACATATTTTCTCACTCAATCTTTGTGTTTTTCACACTCAACATGTGCCGATTTAAGTTACGCTTTTTCTGTAAATTGACAAGAATCTGTGTCGCTCTGTTGCTATGCTAGGGGCAGAGGGTGTGTTTTATTTATGTTATTTACCTAATTTGCAGAGGAGAAACAGGTTAATAACTCATTAAGCTAAGTGCAATAAAAGCTTTCCATCTAGTGTTATAAATCCCTCTAAAACTTAAGATTGACAGACAAGAGACAAAAGAGATAGCAACAGACCCCCCCCCCTGTAGTGTAGTCACTGGGGTTAAGCTAGTATGTTGTTCTGTTGTTTGGATCTTTAATAGTTTCTTGACTGGATGAGAAAAGCTGATAAACTTGGTGAATGTACAGTATATGATGCTGTGTGATTCTAAAATCTTCTGTGTTGCCAGCTTTAGTTAGTACAGTGTGTGTACTGTATGTGTGCGGAGGCCGAAACATGCAGTTTCATGACTCAGATTCAAACCCACAATCTCATGTGTCAACACACACAAACTTTTCATTTCTTTTTATTCACCAACAGGATTACAATTCACCCCCCCCACACACACACACAAGAAAAAATAAATTGGAGGATATTTTTCATGTTGGAATATGAATTTCAACTAATCTTGCTGACATTCAAATGAGAATTGAGACTCATCTCACCAGCCTGTCTAAAAATAGAAATAAGCCAAGACAGGCGCACAATAACTGGCAGCTGTTTCCCCGGTGTTCCCTGCCAACCCAGTTGTAGAGTCTCTGCCTTTTTTTATCCAATTTCTCCTCAAGTGTTCAGCACTAAACAGTTTCACTCATGTACACCTACAGCATTTATTACGTCTGTTCTAGCACAGGCTGATACCAATATGCAACTAAAGATTCCAGGAGGAAGTATGAATCTTCCTGAATTTAATCCAAGTCAGATATATATATATATATATATATATATATATATATACATATACATATATACAGTATATATATTTACAGAATTAGGATCCAAAATAACAAGTGAATATAAGTGAAAGGAAATTGTGTCATTTCAAATGCTTGTCCTTAACTTAAATGAATGCAAAATGGACTCACCAGGATTAACTATAACTATGCTAACTGTATAGGAACCTGCTTAACAGGATAACCTGAATCTGTCAACCCTCTGTGTATGGTTGTGGAATCTTTCACAATAAAAGCTGATCTCTTTAAGCTATCCTTTCTGTTTTCCATCAATTATTTCTCTGTGTTGTTTCTCCCTGCCTCTGTCTCTTGCCTCTAACACACATTAAATCTATAATTATTTCCATAAACACACATCTTTTACACTAACTGGGTCATAGTGCTTTCTGTGATACCCAGTGCCTTGATCTTAAGATCCTAACCTCTTTGCTTCTGTTTCTCCTTGCACTGTGTGTGTGTGTGTGTGTGTGTGTGTGTGTGTGTGTGTGTGTGTGTGTGTGTGTGTGGCCATCAGAATACTGTGTGGGGGGTTTCGTACTGTATGCTACCATGAGGTAATTTCCTCAGTGGCTGTGAGAAAAACATTCACCACAACATCAAACGTTACTCATATGAGATTCACTTACATTATGTTGCTTTACATTATTTCATTGTTTTGCTCTGACCTCGGGTTTACTTTCATGTCTCCTGTTTTTACAGCAAATTATATTATCAGAATACATACATACATACATTATTTGTATGAATGATTTGAAAATTACTGAAAGGTTTAACATGAATAACAAAAATAAGTGTAAGATTCATATAAATGAGGCCAAAAACAACAAAGTTGTAAAAGTAAATAAAAGATGATGAAGCCTTAAGATTAATGTGACATTTCTGTCTTTCTCATCCAGACACATTCGCCAGCAAAGTCGCTGCCATCCAGGACCAGTACGCCGACGCCTCCATCGGCAACGTCACCGGCTCAAACGCCGTCAACGTCTTCCTGGGCATCGGAGTGGCATGGACCATCGCAGCCATCGCTTGGCGCACCGAGGGCAAGCCGTTCAAGGTGGACCCGGGAAACCTGGCCTTCTCTGTCACCCTCTTCACCATCCTGGCCGTGGTTTGCGTGCTCACGCTGCTGTACCGGCGGCGGGCGACAGTGGCCGGCGGTGAGCTGGGCGGGCCGCGGACTTGCAAGATGATCACGTCGCTGATGTTCGTCTCGCTGTGGCTGATTTACATCCTGCTGGCTTCACTGGAGGCCTACTGCCATTTACCACAGTTTTAAATGGAGAGGAGAGGGGAGGGAGAGAGACCCACTGCCAATATGAAGAGAGAGAGAGAGAGAATGAAGGAGGAAAGACAGACAGGGATGAGGAAAGATGGGAAGTTGAGATGGATTGATTGGGGCCAATTCTGATATTTTTTTTTATGAAATCAGAAGATCTTCAAATTTCCTTTTTTACAAGCCCAAAATACAGACTTTTTGGTTTCGATATTGTGTTTTCTTTCCTGAAAAGAGTTTAAACCATCATGAAACACTACAGCTCTCCAATGATGTCCGTGTCCCTCTGAATTAAGAATTACTTAAAACATTAATGACAAAAATTGCAATGCAGGTTTTAAAGAGCACTTTTGTGTAGTTGTTCATCCGCAGTGGACAACTCTGTTTAATAGTTAAAAACAGAGTCATATTGTTCCAGTATTCTGCCAAACCAGCAGGAGAGATGTCAGCCACTCAGCCGGGCTCTGAAGGGAAACATACAGGTGAGGAGGAAGGAGAAGGGTGGAAGATAACAAGGAGGAAAGGGAAGCTAGAGGCAACAAAGCTAAAGAAAAGTCTGTGAAACATTATAATAGATATATAATAGAGATAATAGATAGAAGGAGATGAGGGGAAAAAGTAAAAGAATAGATGGACCCCCTCCTCACTTTCTCTTGCTTCTTGTGTCACAGCTGTATCTCGTCACCGCAGGAACAGTGGACTCTCCCATCATACCTGTTGAACTCAATGTAGTACTAACAGTGACTTATGACTTTTAACTTCTCCTCTGCCAACTGTATTCAGACACACACACACACACACACACACACACACACACACACACACACAAACACTCTACAGACAGTACACACTCCTCTGTCCCTCCCTCTTGCCTTACTCTTACCTCCCCCTGTAGGAACTGTCTTAAAGTCGTGACAACGAAACAATGTATGAAACGCTCTTAAAGTTGTGATTATGAAACGCTGTAGTCGCCACCCACCAACCCTCTTTTTAATTGAGCCAATCACAAGCCCCTCCCCTTTTAACACTAATCAACAGCCTCATTTATCCCGTGAAGGAAATTTACCTTGCCCCCCACCCCCACCTCTCTTTTTTCTAAACTTTTCAATGGCGTCACGTGTTGATGTTGTTACCGTGCAATTGTAAAAAAAAAAAACTAAAAAAACAAAAAAGGCATAAATAGGGTCAGATGAAATAAGAATAAGGAGAAAGAAAGAAAGATCCAGATGTGACGTGACAGATCAAGATGTTGGATTATCACCTGGAAGAAATGGAGTCTGGAGAACCAGCAATCGAGCAGTCTGCCTCGTAACAGCTGTTTCTCTTGAAGGGGAGAAGCATTGTGCACGGCGAGGTACACTATTTGTCATTACATTACAGGGAAATGTGAACAACTTGAGCAAAGCAGGAAATGACATATATAAACAAGACACAAGACGGACCAATCAGAATGAAGGATCTCACTAACAACGATTACTAAGATGGTGCCGACGGCGGTGCCGATGATGACAAATCAAACTATGACCATACCCAGTGTTTCTAATTGTACATGATAATATAAGAGACATTTATTGATGTGTGTGCAAAAACACTGATATTTCATTTATTTACGTTGAGTCCCTCCCTTTGTGAGGAAAACCCCGGAGGAAGACGAGAAAGATTCACACGCCCCTTTTTCTCAGTTCAAAAAGACATTTTAAGGAACTCCATCGCAACAGCTGTTAGATGGTGAACATAAAACCAGAGATGACTCACAGACAGAAAGAGGAGTCGAACGCTCTGAGGGAAATGTACGGCAGCTCCGAAATATCACATGACTGTTCTGCAGCAGTTGTAACGTTGGGACATTTCTTTGTACAAAAAAAAACACCAGTCTCTGTTATCCAAAGATTTGATAGAAGAATATTGTCACAAATCACTTCACGGGTAGAGAACCATTCATTTTCAGTGTGCAGTTTTACCTTGCGGGCATTATACACGTCCCACAAGCTGCCAGCTGTAGTTCAAAAAACAGGCAAATTTAAATTCACACTACGGTTAAATGTGCTCAACCATAGGTATTTTTAATGGGTGTGAGTCTGTATCAGATGTGTTTGTTTTTGTGTAAGATTTGCTGATTCAGGCACAGTGTGTGTGTGAAGGTGAAAGTAAGATATCAAACTAGCTTGAAATGAGAATATCATGCCACATATCATGATTGTCTATCTGAGAAAGTGTCAAAGCCAAGATTTGCATTATGTTTGTGTTAATACCCCTGCCCTGCCCAGGGGTTAGACTGACGCTGGACAGCAGGGACGGCATATGGCTTGTCAGTGCAGATTATTATTAAATGCATTATTAACAACAGCAAAGGAGGAAAAACTCTGCAGAGAGTGAGTGGTTTTCCTCTCAACTGCCCACGATGCTGAGTGGAAACGTCAAGGAAAATCCTCCTAAGAGAAAACAATAATTGAGCTTATTGTTGTATCGCTGTTCACTAAGAGAAAAAGGAGACTGAAAACAACAATTTACCGTCCTACCCACTGTTTTCAGCCCAATGTAAACGCAGGCTTTACTAAGCCAGATCAGTCGTGACCAGATGACTGATGCAGCTCTGACCAAGTCAACACTTATACAGATAGAGGAAAAGTGGGCGATGTGGAGCATAGGACCATTGATCCATTGGGGTAAAAATGCCTGTATGCATTAACCCCGCTTCCCTCAAATGTGACATTTTAAATGCCACACCAGTTCCTCTCACTTTCTGACAGCTGTAAAGGAAAGGAGAAAGTGAAATAATCCAAACTTTCTTTGTAGAAAATCAGTGAAAGCTTCTGTTATTTCTTTGAACAGCTGTTTTCCAGCAAGGCTCAGCCCAGCTTCACTGATGGAAGGAGTTTGGCCACCTGCCATGATGCTCTTGCCCTGTTTCAAAGAAATATTTCTTGGCTGCAAATATTTAATAATGCTGTCTAGAAATTAGACACGATGGCATGCCCTGAGTTTCCACCTCAGAGAAGAGCGGGGCTGGAGCTCATGAGGATACTACATCACATCCGTCGCCTGCAGGGCCGTAGCCAGGATTTGAAAAATACTGAGGTCATGTCCAAGCCACACCGACACAAATCCACCCTCTTCAGAAACCTTTGGCCAGACACCAAAAAGAAAGTTTGAGGAGTTGTTAATTTTGGGGGCTTGTAAAGAGGAAGTATAATGTTGCTACGGTTTTAGTGAACCCGACCATAGCCATGTTTTTGGGGTTTTTTTGCCTATATTTGTTTACATTTTGGTAAATTACCACCATCAAAACTATGCCAAATTAGCTATCAATGGTCCCTGTATGCATTTCCCCCATGGAGACACAGACAACTCTCACTGCATTACTTTCATACTGAAGAAAATGTAAAAATGTGATCATTTTCAGGCAAGATCTGGAGTTACAATAAGCATCTTTTCTCAGATTTCTAAGAGGATTTATGAACATGTATTCACAATGGACATGGACATAATTACATCTTCAGAGAGTGAGAGTTGCATTGGATGCAAAAGTGTGTATATCATGTCTCTGTGTTCAGATCTGATTGAGTTATGAGAGAAGAAAGAAGAATATTTGACACAAATTGCAAACCTAAAAAAATGCACAGGACATGGCCTCAGTTTCCTCAGTGGTTGCTACGGCATTGGATGCTGACACGCTAGAATCCACATCATCCAGCTGAATCAGTCTGACTCACCACCCAGATCCTGTCATTGTCTCTGTTTCTTTAGTCATTTCTGTAGTATGCAGCATCTTTAAACGCAGGAGCGAACCCGACGTGACGGAGGTCATCAGCCACTTGCCAGTTTTGACATGACTCTTACGTTGGCATGGCTCCTGGCCCACTGAGACACCAGGACGCATGCCGGGCCAAACTCTTTTTCTCAATGACTTAAGCCTCTGTAACGGTTGGCAGTTTAAGAATGAGTGGGCAGGATAATAGTGCTGCTGACGCCACAGGAACTCAAGAATACTGGGACTGATTTAGAAATGTAGTCTTTTTAAAGGTTGATAAGCCTTGCTGGAGGACAGCTGAGTGTGTGTGTATTTGTGTGTACGTGTGTGTGTGTGTGTGTGTGTGTGTGTCCCTCTCTCTCTTTGTGCGTGTGCATGCTTTCTAAGTGAGTGAAGAAATGCAACATATTTTTAGTCTCTTGCCTGTTGCTTAGTGACCATCTATCTGCAAGCCGTTGTCTTCTTGACTGTTGCTGGTGTATGTGAGACATTGTGTGTGTGTGTGTGTGTGTGTGTGTGTGTCTGTGTGTGTGTGTGTGTCTTTCTCTCTCTTGATGTTTCTCACTTTGTTTCTCTGCTTGCCCTTTCCTTTAGTGAATGTGACAGTATCTTTTCTCATTCATTTTCCTCTCTCTCTGCGGGTGAATTTCAACATGTTAATGATCATATCTTCATCTTTTCAGCATGTCTTTCTTTTACTTTATGCTCCTTGTGCCTCCCCATGTTGTGTTGCATGTGTATCCATTGTGTGCACATCTACATGCGTATTTGTGCCTTTGTGTCTGTGTGTGTGTGTGTGCGTGTGTGTGTGTGCATGCATGTGTCTGTTGGTGTTGTAATCTCCTTATAAGGGCTCGCCCTGTGTGTCCCTGGCTGAGTCCCATATGCTAGATTAATGAATTAGAATGCCAAAATGCCTGGAAATTGGATTCCCTCCCGTGTGTGTTTGTGTGTTTGTGTGTTTGTGTGTGTGTGTGTGTGTGTGTGTGTGTGTGTGTGTGTGTGTGTGTGTGTGTGTGTGTGTGTGTGTGTGTGTGTGTGTGTGTGTGTGTGTATGTGCGTGTGCGTGCGCATCCACCCCTGTCAAATAAGATTAGATATATAATAGATCTGGCTGTTGGTTGAGACCGGGAATAGATGTTGGCACTTTCTTTGAGGAAGTGTGTGTGTGTGTGTGTGTGTGTGTGTGTGTGTGTGTGTGTGTGTGTGTGTGTGTGTGTGTGTGTGTGTGTGTGTGTGTGTGTGCGCGTGCGCGCGCGCGTGCGTGCGTGCGTGCGTGCGTGTGAGTGTACAGTATGTGAGACACTGTCATT